ATTCCATTAGCATTCAGTGCCGCATTCCTTCAGTGTTGCTGGGTCACAATCCTGGAATTCCCTCCCTATTGGCATTGGCGGTCAACTCACACCAGGGGAACTGCAGCGGTTCAAGAAGGCAGCTCACCACCACCTTCTCAAGGGGGCAACTAGGGACGGGGCAATAAATGCTGGGCCCAAGACAGTGACCCCCACGTCCCAATAAAGAAATGAAGAAGCACAGCCAATGAAAGGACGAGCCATCCATGTTTTAGGATCCACAGCAACCAATTTAGATACAGGATGCTCCCACAAGCAGCTGTGAGATAATATCCAGGTCTCTGTTTCTACTGATGTTGGTCGTGGCATAAATATTGTCCCTTGGACACAGTGTTCATCTTTCAGTCATGTGTTCACATCAAAGGGCTCCCTTGGTATTGCCAGTGCAAGGGTCAGACTGGGCTATAGACTCCTAGAGTCATACAGCACGGAAACAGACCCTTCAGTCCAACCAGTCCATGCTGACCATAATCCCGAACTAAACTAGTCCCACCTGCCTGCTCCTGGCCCATATCCCTCCAAACATTTCCTACTTATGTACTTATCCAAATGTCTTTTAAACATTGTAACTGTACTCGCATTCACCACTTCCTCTGGAAGTTCATTCCACACACGAACCACTGTCTGTGTGAAAAAATTGCCCCTCATGTCTTTTTTATATCTTTCTCCTCTCATCTTAAAAATATACCCCCCCAAGTCTTTGAAATCCCCCACCCTAGGGAAAAGACATCTGCCATTCACCTGATCTATACCCCTCATGATTTTGTAAACCTCTGTAAGGCTACTCCTCAACTTCCTACGCTCCACTGAGATAGGTCCCAGCCTATCAGGCTCTCCCCATAACTCAAACCCTCCATTCCCAGTAACATCCTGGTAAATCTCTTCTGAACCCTCTCCAGCTTAATAATATCCTTCCTATAACAGAGCGATCAGAACTGGACTGAGTGATCCAGAAGAGGCTCCACAAAACATACTGTACAACCTCAACACAACATGTACTCAAAGGCCTGAGCAAGTGTGCTAAACACCTTCTTAACCACCCTGTCTATATGTGATGTAAACTTCAAAGAATTGTGTACCCGAGCCCCTGTTCTACCACACAAACTGAAGCCCTACTTTTAATTGTATAAGTCTTGCCCTTGCTTGTCCCTCTGTTCTACAACACTACCCAAGGCCCTATTTTTAATTGTGTAAGCCCTGCCCTTGTTTGTTTTACTAAAATGTGATACCTCGCATTTATTCAAATTAAACTCCATCCGCCACTCGAGCCCATTGACCCAGTTAATCAAGATCTCTTTGTAATCTTAGATAACCTTCTTCACTGTCCACTGTCCCACTGATCTTGGTGTCATCCGCAAAATTACTAACCATGCCTTCTATACTCTCATCTGAATAATTTACATAATTCATAAACAAATGTGGACCCAGGCACCAATCCCTGTGGAACACCGTTTGTCACAGGCCTATAGCCCAGTGGGGAATGCAGTTCTCCGAACTAGTCCTCAAACCTTCCACCTTCTGACCCAGAGATGAGGGAGTGTTCCCAACAGCTTCCCAGCTCCGTCACTGCAGTGCCCGGGATGGATTTACTCCGGGATGCAAAGACAGAGTCAAGCAAGCACGTGACTGGTCGTATAAACCTGCAGAATACAACCTCTGTAAACCTCTTCATGTGGAAGTGAGCTGGATTGCTTCAGGCAAATCCCTTGGATTTACAGGGATTTTTTCTCCCCCCTGCGCGGCGATAATACTTTAATCCCTTGGAATTCGCTGAGACTTACCCACATTGTCTGGGTCGTAATCCACGGGGGTTTTGAATTTGTCGGATATTGCTGCTGTTCAGAGTGCGAGTTTCGACCTGCTTTCTGTCATCTCTGCCAATCTGTTTGTTGAGAGTGGGGCATCTCATGGTGATGGGGGTCAGGTCTGAGCTGGAAAGCTCACCCGAGGTCTCAAAGGACCAAGGATGGTGAGTTTATCTCGTGATTAGACAGGTCAGGTCCCCACTTCTCAATCCCACGCACAGCCAATGGCAGGCAGTAAAAGTAGGAGGGATTCCTGGTCACCCAGGTGATGGAACAACTGTTGAAGATTCTGCCTCCATTTCCCATAATGTGCGTTAAAACTCCTAAATGACTTTGACTTTTTGAGCAGCAAAGCAGCTTTTTAAATTCATTCACAGGATGCGGGCATCGCTGGCTGGGCCCAGCACTTATCGCCCGACCCGAATTACCCCTCGAGAAGGTGATGGTGAGCTGCCTTCTTGAACTGCTGCAGTCCTCCTGCTGTGGGTTGATCCACAATGTCCTTAGAGAGGCAATTCTATGATTGTGACCCAGCGACAATGAAGGAACGATATATTTCCCATGTCGGGATGGTGAGTGGCTCACTGGGAAACCTGCAGGAGGTGGTGTTCCCATGTATCTGCTGCCCTTGTCCTTCTGGATGGAAGTGGTCATGGGTTTGGATGGTGCTGTCTGAGGATCTTTGGTGAATTTCTGCGGTGCGTCTTGTAGACACTGCTGTGACTGAGTGTCGGTGGGTGGAGAGAGTGGGATGTTTGTGGATGTGGTGCCAATCAAAGCGGGGGCTGCTTTGTCCTGGACGATGTCGAGCTTATTGAGTGTTGTTGGGACTGCATCCATCCAGGGGCAAGTGGGGAGTATTCCCTCTCGCTCCTGACTTGTGCCTTGTCGATGGTGGACAGGCTTTGGGGAGTCAGGAGGTGAGTTACTCGCTGCAGGATTCCCAGCCTCTGACCTGCTCTTGTCGCCCCTGTGTTTATATCATAGAATCCCTATAGTGTGGAAGCAGGCCGTTCAGCCCATCAAGTCCACACCTACCCTCCAAAGAGCATCCCACCCCTGTCCCAACTCCCTACCTTGTCCCTGTAACCCTGCATTTGCCATAGCTAATTGACTGAGCCTGCACATCCCTGGACATTATGGCACAATTTAGGGTGGCCAATCCACCTAACATGCTGAGTCTATGTACTAGACTATTGATATTCTGATCAATAGTAAGCCTAAGGATGTTGAGAATGGGGGTTTTAGTGAAAGTCCAGAGGGCAGTGGTTCGATTCTCTGTTATTGGAGACGGTAATTACTTGGTAATTGTGTGACACAAATGTTGCTTAAATAAGTGCATAATCAGCCAAAGTTGAATGTGTGTGGCCACAGTTGGAAAATGAAATTGCAGTGAAACTTCCAGGAGTAGACCTCTGCTGCGAGAATGTAACCCTACACAAACAGTTGGATTTGGCTTTGCGGATTTGGAAGGCCCACTTAATGAAGAGAAATGATTCTGTGCTGTGGCCAGCAGGCCTTGATCTAGCATCATATTAAATCAATCAGTCAATGCTACAAATGCCCTTTGTGTGGGGAGTTGTGGGACCCAACTCAGCGATGAGGAGGGGATGCGAATTTCAACCCCATCCCAAATAAAAGTCACTCTACTGTAATGTGGCCCGATGAGATTGGACATGATTGTGAGCTGGTGAAGCCCAGCAACTCGTAGCATTGAGCCCAGCTGTCCTGTGTAAGAGGCTGTGCAGAAAGGATGGGATAGTCCATCCTGGCGAGAGACGTGCTTACAGATAACTGTAAGGGGCAAAGGGCTTAGCAAAACCCTGCTCGAGTTAGGCATCAGGCACTCGTAGATCAAGGGGAAGCCATGACGAGCCACTACCAGGAGAGTCAACGATAGCCATCTGTTCAACGTGTGACTTTGAGCCAGAAACAATGCGATCCTTATTTTTTGACTAACGACTTTGAGATGTAACGTTTGATGTGCTTGAGAAGATTAGTAGCTCGGGTTGTTGACTTGCTCGGCAAGCTGTTGCAGATGTTTCGTCACCTTACTGTAACCATCTGTAACCACTGGAGTGCGCCTCCAGTGAAGCGTTGGTGTTCCGTCCTGCCTGTTATTTATGTGTCTCGGTTTGCTAGGGTGGGTGACAGCACCTTCCAGGTTTGTTTTGTCAGTGGTTGGTATGTGGGGTCCAGCTCTACAAGTTTGTTAACAGAGATCCGGTTTGACGCTTCCAGGAATTCTCGTGCATGTTTTTGCTTGACTTGTCCTAGGGTGGCTACGTGGTCTCAGGTCAAATTGGTGTCCCTCTTTGTCCATGTTCATTGAAATGAGGGATAGGTTTACTTACTCGGCTTTGCGTAGCTCTGGGGTGCCGTTTGTTTGAACAGTGTTTCAGTGCAGCTCCGTTTGTAGGTTTTGGGATGATTGCTGTTATAGTTGAGTACTTGATCTGTGCGGGTGGCCTTTCTGTGTGCGTTGGTCTGGAGCTCACCATAGGCCATATATTCGGCCATGAACTATCACCTTTATTCATTCGTGGGATGAGGACATCATTGGCCAGGCCAGCATTTATCACCCATCCCTAATTGCCCAGAGCGCAGTTATGAATTGACCACATTGCTGTGGGTCTGGAGTCACATCTAAGCCCAGACCAAGTAAAGATGGCAGTTTCCTTCCCTAAAGGACATTAGTGAACCAAGTGGGTTTTTCCTGACAATTGGCAATGGATTTATGGTCATCGTTGGATTCTTAATTTTTATTGAATGCAAATTCTACCATTTGCCGTGACGGGATTCGAACCAGGGTCCCCAGAACATTGTCTGGGTCTCTGGATTAACAATCCAGCAATAATACCACTAGGCCATCACCTCCCCTGGTACCTAGCATGGTGAAGCGCCTGCAAACAAATTTACCAGCTCGGCGAGCAAGTCAACAACCGCATGCAATATTTGCTCAATAACGTGCTGTATATTGCACACATGATGCCGTGAACCCTCCCCGGGAACGTTATCGACCGAAAGAAGCGACCATTTGCAAGTACATTTGCACACAGGACACTGTCCTCTGCAAGCAAAAGGAATCTGTTCAATCCTCATGCCTTTCGGGAATTACGTGAGATCTTGGGGAACCCACATTTATTCTCCCCGGCAATGGCTCGTCCAATCAGAGTCGACTTGCCGGCCAACCGGCAACCTTTCCTCCTCCAACATAAATCGGCGTGGGCTGTGCGAAATTTGGCGTTCTTGCGTTTGTGTCCTGGTGAGCGATAAAGCTGCAGCTCCTTCTTTCCAACAAAGGTTCTGGTGCCGGGTCGCGTCAGGAGACATTAGGACGGATGAGCAGAAGCGGGATGGGAGCCGTGGGAAATGCAGGGTTACAGGGATAGTGTGGGCAGTCAGTGGGTGGGGGGGTTCTGGGCAGGATGCTCCTCAGACAGTCGGTGTGGACTTGATAGACCGAATGGCCTGCTTCCGCACTGTAGGGATTCTGCGATGATTCAATAGATGGTGGAAAAAAATTTAGCCATTGTGAGATAATGGGACAGCTGCCTTTCTCGGAACGGATGGGCTTAACTGAATGAGCACTACAGAGCGTGTTTGGACGTCAAGCATGACTCAGTTCCGCTTCTGAGTAGGAAGGTTGAGGGCCCGAGTCCTAATCCAAAGTTTTAAGTGCCAACTCCCAACACCAAAGGCGTTGCCATTCAGAGGAGACATGAAGCCAAGGTAGACGTTAAAGATTTCTCAAGCCTTCCTGGGAAAAGAGCAGTGAGGGATGATCCCACAACTGGAGCCAATGCTTACCCCCCTGAGGTATGGTGCCAACACAAGCTCGTCTTCTTGGCAGGGAGCTTGCTGTGAGCTAATTGGGTGCTGCGTTTCCTGCGAGTGGCCTTCCTGGCATCACCCACTGGCCCACAAGGGGTGGGAGTGGTACAGCTGAGGCCCCCATCAACTGAGTAAAAAGACCCAGTTGGAAGTGAATTGGTTGCTGTGCCTATTTAATCCCAAAAGCATGTGTTGTCAGCCACCAGCAGGAGAAGCTGCTCTCCTCCGATGCCTATTTCAAATGTTGCCTTGACTGAGTTTTACGCACTGCTGTTTGAATTATTCGCGCAGCTTTCCTTTCTGAACTGTTCCACCGATCTCAGGTTTACGTTCCTCACCGAGAAATAAAACAGGCAAAGGAAAATCGCATCTTACAGTACACCGCACAAGGGCTGCACACTCAAGATAATAGAGCGGTGTGCAGTGTGTAACACATGGACTAGATATCACACAGGTAATGCGGCGATTTGTAACTGGTCAGGCAGCGTCAGTGGAAATAGAAACTGTGTTCATGTTTCGAGTCAGGTATGAAGGAATAGGCCATTTCGTCCTTTGATTTGATGTCATATATGAGTCTTTAACCAGTCATCGGACTCTGTTTGTCCCCCCCACCGGGTCAGGACCACTGCAGCTGGTGATAGACTCAATGTGGTCAAAAACTGACTCAACCAAATAAAGACACCAAGCGTAAGGATGGCCCAGCGATCTGCAACCTGACATAACAAGGTGTAGAGCTGGATGAACACAGCAGGCCAAGCAGCATCAGAGGAGCAGGAAAGCTGACGTTTCGGGCCTAGACCCTTCTTCAATTATCTGCAGTTCCTACTATCTCTGCAAGCTGACAACTGGCTTGTCATCTCCAACTGAGGATGTTGTGCGGAACATGAATATGGGTGTGCATTTGGATCCTGCTGCAGCTCCTGGCTGGTTTGTTTGCATGACAGTGTGTGTTGGGTGAATTGGTTCTGCAGTGTCACAAAAAAAACCCCGCTTTGAATATTAATAACCACTTGGCCAGAAGGTGCGTGCCGCTGAAAAAGTGGGACAGCTGTCGAAACTGATCGTCTTGTTCCTATCAGGACACAGAATGGCAAGAATGCCGAATCCTAACAGGAAGGAGAATTGATGACACGAACCTGGGTGGAGGGATACACAGTGTTGAGGAGGCAGGGAGGCTGCGGAAGGACTTGGACAGGCTAGGAGAAGGGGGTCAAAGAAGTGGCAGATGGACTACAAAGTGGGAAAGTGTGAGCTCCTGCATTGTGGGAGGAAGAGTAGAGGCGTAGACGATTCTCGAAATGGGGATAGGCTTCGGAAATCTTGAGAGTCCTACTTCAGCATTCTCCTAAGGTTGACATGCAGTTCTGATGGCAGTTAGGAAGGCAAATGCAATGTTAGCATTCATTTCAGGAGGGCTAGAATACAAGGTAGATGTACTGCTGACACTGTTTAAGGCTCTGGTCAGATTGCATTTGGAATATCATGAGCAGTTTTCAGCCTTATGTCTAAGGAAGGATGATCCCGGGGAAGAGGGGCTTGTATATGAGAAGCAGTTGAGGACTCCGGGTCTGTACTCAATGGAGTTTAAAAGGATGACTGAAACTTGCAGGATGCTGAGAGGCCTGGATAGAGTAGATGTGATGTTTCCAAGAGGAGGAGAGACTAGAACCCAAGGGCACAGCCTCAGAGTGAAGGGATGACCCTTTAGAACTGAGATGAGGAGGAATTTCTTCAGCCAGAGAGCGGTGAATCTGTGGTACTCATTGCTGCAGAGGGCTATGGAGGCCAAGTGATTGAGTGGATTTAAGTCAGAAGTAGATAGATTCTTGATTAGTAAGGGGATCGAGGGTCATGGAGAGAAGGCAGGGGAATGATCGGGCATGATCGAATGGCGGAGCAGACTCAGTGGGCCGAATTCTGCTCCTGTATCTCATGGCCTTCGACTGCATGGGAAGAGACTGCAGACTGGTGTGTCCATGCAGAATGCATCAGGGAACAGTTAAGTGAAAGCTTCAGTTCAGAATCAAACCAGGCGAGTTGGTTTGGATGGGTTAAGGCATTAACCAGCAAACAGCTGCTACGCAGGAGAAATTGGTGTTCCCTTTCAGATTTGATGTTCTTTTGACTCCATCCTGATGAGTGGACAAAGCTTTATTCCTGAACCCTCCCCCAATGTCCCAAGAATGAATTACAAGATGGATTCCCTGTCCATTGTAAACTTACATCCTGTGCCATAAATATTGTGCCTACCCTTTATTTTAACATTCATCTCGAGAAAGTTCTGTGCCAGTATTTATAATCAGAAACTCTGTGTCAACATCTATCATCAGAAATGCCATGTCAGCGTTTCTAATGGAACAGTCTATGTCAACATCTATAATGGGGAGCTGCATGTCACCATTTATAATGGAAAACTTGAGGACAGCATTTATTATGGAAAATTCTATGTCAGCATTTAAAGTGGGGAGCTCTGTATCATTATCTACAATGGCAAAGTGTTATGTTGATATTTATAATGCAGAGCTCTGTATCAATACAGAGTCATAGGGCCATTCAGCATAGACACAGGCCCTTCAGTCCAACCAGTCCATGCCGACCATAATCCTGAACTAAACTAGTCCCGACTGCCTGTGCTTGGCCCATATCCCTCTGAACCTTTCCTATTCATGTACTTATCCAAATGTCTTTTAAATGTTGTAACTGTAACTGCGTCCACCACTTCCTCAGGAAGTTCATTCCATACATGAACCACTCTCTGTGTAAAAAAAATTGCCCCTTACGTCATTTTTAAATTTTTCTCTTCGCACCTTAAAAATACATCCCCTCATCTTGAAATCCCCCACCCTAGGGAAAAGACAACTGCCATTGACCTTATCTAAGCTTCTCATTGTTTTATAAATTTCTATGAGGTCGCCCCTCGACTCGTACGTTCCAGTGAAAAAAGTCCCAGCTTATCCAGCCTCTTGTTATAACTCAAAGCCTCCATTCCCGGCAACATCCTAATAAATCTCTTCCGAACCCTCTCCAGCTGAATAACATCCTTCTGAAAACAGGGTGACCAGAACTGGACACAGTACTCCAGAAGAGGCCTCACCAACATCCTACGCAATCTCAACGTCCCAACTCCTATATTTCAAAGGTCTGAGCAATGAAAGCAAGCGTGTTAAACACCTTCTTAACCACCCTGTCTACCTGTGACGCAAACTTCAAAGAATTATGTAACTGATCCCCTTCTACTGTCCAAGGCCCTACTTTTAATTACACAAGTCTTGTCTTTGTTTGTTTTACCAAAATATAACACCTCGCATTTATCCAAATTAAACTCCATTTGCCACCCTTCAGCCCAATGACTCAACTGATCAAGATCTCTTTGTAATCTTAGATAATCTTCTTCATTGTCTACTATTCCACCAATCTTGGTGTCATCTGCAAACTTACTAACCATACCTCCTATATTCTCATCTAAAGCATTTCTATAAATGACAAACAAAACAGCACACAGCACTGATCCTTGTGTAACACCACTGTTCACAGGCCTCCAGTCCGAAAAACAACCCTCCACCATCATTCTCTGTCTCCTGCCGTTAAGCGAATTTTGTATCCAATTAGCAAGCTCCCCCTGAATCCCATGTGATCTAACTTTAACTAATTAGTCTATCATGTGGAACCTTGTCAAAAGCTTTACTAACGTCCAAGTAAACAATGTCTGCTGCTCTGCCCGTGTCAAATTTCTTCATTACTTCCTCAAAAGACTCAATTTTTTGAGACATGATGTCCCTCACGTAAAACCATGCTGACTATCCCTAATCATTCCTTGCCTCTCCCAGTACTTATTAATCCTGTCATTTCCAACAACTTACCCACCAGCAAAGTGAGGCTCACAGGTCTATAGTTCCCAGGCTTCTCCTTACATCCCTTCTTAAACAAAAGCCCAATATTTACCAGTGTCCAGTCATTCTACACCTCACACATGTTTATAGGTGATACAAATATTTCTGCAAGGGGCCCAAGTGTTTATAATGGCGAGGCCCCAATTCAGTATTTATAATGGGGAGCTCTGTATCAATATCTATAATGGCAAGGGCCTATGTCAACATTGATAATGGGGAGTTCTGTATCAATATCTATAATGGCAGGGCTCTATGTCAACATTTATAATGGGGAGGTCTGTATCAATATCTGTAATGGCATCACCATATGTCAATATTTATAAGATAAATGGTACATTGGCCTTCATAGCAAGAGGATTCAAGTTAGGAGCAGGGATGTCTTGCTGCAATTGTACAGGGGCCTTGGTGAAACCACCCCTGGAGTATTGTGTGCAGTTTGGGGTCTCCTTATCTGGTGATGGAGGGAGTGCAGCAAAGGTTTACCAGACTGATTCCTGGGATGGCAGGACTGACGTATGGAGAGAGACTGGATCGGTTAGGACTAGATTCACTGGGGATTTTAGAAGAATGAGGGGGATATCATGGAAACCTATAAAATTCTAACAGGACCAGGCAGGGTCAACGCAGGAAGGATGTTCCTGATGACCTGGGGAGTCCAGAACCAGGGGGTCATAGCCTAAGGATTACAGGGTGGGCCATTTAGGACTGAGATGGGGAGAAATGTCTTTACCCAGAGAGTGGGGAACCTGTGGGATTCTCTGACACAAAAGGCGGTTGAGGCCGAAACATTGAATGTTTTCAAGAAGGAATCAAATATAATTCTTAAGACCAAAGGGATCGAAGGGTAAAGGAACAGGACACTGAGTTGGACAATGAGCCATGATCATATTAAATGCCTGAGTGGTAGGGTTCCTGGGTCCTGTGCTGCTATGATGGCTGGCTATATCAGTGCGTGTGCAGCACAGTGTCAGACCCTCAGCAGTCGATTTCCCACGAGTCACAGAGGTGTCTCTGCAGTACAACAGTGAGGGCTCATTGTGAGGCACTGCGAAAGGCTCAGACAGAATCGGCGCTGACTATAATGTATTCACTGTGCACTGGTTTCCAGGGAAACGGTGCTTTCACAAGCTGATATAACTAAGGTTTCTCAACTCTGGAGTGATCATAAAGGAAGAATGACTACAGACAGAGAGCTGGATTTGCACTTTTCGAAAAGATTTGCATTCCTGTAGCACCTTTAATGAAACCCCACAGTGTTTGATAAACAGTGCAGTGCTTTGGTCATTGTTGCAATGTAGGCAACGGGGTCAGCAATTCTACACACGACAAACATCCTCAAACAGCAGGTCAACAACAGCTGCACCATCGGGCTGTTTACCTCAGAGATGTTGGTTAGTGTCACTGCATCTGGAGATCGTCCTCCTCTTGAGGTCCACCAACTGTAGCCCAGCACTATTTCCCACTACAGGGGAAAAGCAGAGAAAATACCAGTCTGCTGTGAGAGATGGTACCTACACGCTGCAGCACTCCCTCAGTACTGACCCTCCGACAGTGCGGCACTCCCTCAGTACTGACCCTCTGACAGTGTGGCGTTCCCTCAGTACTGACCCTCCGACACTGCAGCACTCCCTCAGCACTGA